ATATATATATATATGGGGAGAGAAAGAGAAAGAGAGGAGGAGCTCAAAAGACATATTATGCATTCTCATGGGAATTTCTAGCTTTTTACACAGATAAGAACAACACCCTCTTAGTCTTATGGGCCAACTCAACTTCGATCAGAATGCCAAGTGCCCAGATCTAGGGAAAACAGACATACCAAAAAAGGTTTACGTCAAAAACGCGTAGGAAGTGAAGTTTCTTCTTCAGTCCGATAAAGGGAAAGGGTTATAGTCGGTCTTCGTCATAAGCAACCAAATGATGGATATGCGATCTCTCTTCTAAGGCTGTGATGATGCGTACTGCTGCTCCCACAAGGGCACCGCCCCGATGAAGGGACCGAAGTTATCCTACGGGAGACAAGGCGCCTCTCAATGGGGGTGCTTACAATGAGAGCGCGGCTTATCTACCAAGTATGCGTCATGTATAATTGTCTGATAGGAATTTCAAAGCTTCAGATGGGAAACTGAAGGACGCTTGTCAGCAAGCTGGCATCTACCGATGAGATACGCAAAGCTTCGGGTTTCATCGCAAAGGTTGAACACAGTTTGGGGCACCTTAACTTGAAAGTAAACCTCATCTTCAGATTTCTACTGAGAAACACTTTACAAAAATACGGAGACGTCTTAGAACGATAAAAGTATGGTACGACGTGAAAACAGCAAAACTTCTGAACGTCCGTGAGATAAAATGCAGTTTGAAATAAGATGTACGCAAACCAGCCTTTACATTGATGCACGGATAGTTTTTAGTTAACTAGGCTGAATACACAGGGACAGCATCCCGCCTTCACTTCGTGAAAATTCCTCCATAATTTCACTACTCGAAACAAACATTCCAATCGCGTCGCCTCAAAAGAATGCACATCTACAGAAATGACTTACAAGACTGATGGGGCGGCATCGCATTTGTTTCACTTTGTCTTCTGTATAGGAGGAAAAGTTCTGGTAGGCCTGATTGACCGTGAGGATAATGTCGTACAAGCCCAGTTGGTCTAGTGGCGGCCGACTACAAACACCTGCTCTGTTGCTCAAAGTGGACGTATTTGACGGTCCCGTTGGAGGGCCAAAAGCAGACGGCTGCCCAGAACTTTCAGGACCAATGGATAAAGTACCTCCAGGAGTACGATGTCCAGGGAGATTGATTTCTGGTGTTGGGGCAGGTTCGGAACTTCTGGTTCTCCGTGGCATTCGTCCATAGCGCACACTTTCCTTGGACATGCCGACAGCGATACACTTTCGAAAACGACAATACTGGCAGCGATTGCGATTCAGCCTGATCACCAGACACTTTCCATCTCGGAGACACTTGTATTCGATTTGCTTTTGTATGCTTCGACGAAAAAATCCCTAGAAAATGTGATAGACACACATTAGGCAATAGTTTGGCTTCAACACTCAACTAAAAAGCCGACATCAATAAGACATTGAACAGAAACTGCAATGAAACTTCAGCATATACATCGTTGGATTCATAAGATACCGCAAACACTGAGACATCGGACACTACCGATTCGAATGGATTCTGTTGGCCTCGATAGAACAGAACGCGAAATTTTATGCTACAACATCAAGCATATTCGTTTCTCTCTTATCAAGGCAAGAGGGAGGCGTCATATTGGTAGATTGCACATTGGAGTAAATTAGTGTGAGCACCACAAGAAAACAAGTACATGAGCAATCTAAGGAGCTGTCATGTAGAAAGCATAAACGTCAGTCTTTGCGCGTGACAGACAACAGTTGGACCGATACTGAGAAGCGAATCGTATAAAAAAACCTTTGCTGCAGTGCCACCTGACAATCGTAGTTCAACGGCTAACTTCTCAATGCAGGGACCCCAGTAACGACAGAGAGGTCATATACACGAAGGTACCAAACTAAATGATACCTGGTCTGCAAATCTGGTCAAAGATTGGTCATGCAGAATAATGGGTTTTAAGTCCTTCGTGTAGAATTCACCGCTGAAAGGTGTATAGGCAAACAACTCACAGAACAAGAAGCTCACAAAGTGACTTGCTTAAAAGAGGTTTCTCAGTAATGGATATTTGGTTGCTCCTACAATACTTTCGTATCTCAGGGCAAAGTAGGACAAGGTCATCGGATTTCAAATCAAATCCTAGACTGGTCTCTAATGGATACTGAAATATGCGTGGATAGGAAGAAATGCCTAACCGCAGATGATCAGTAGAGGAGCTGATATGGTGACGGATTTCTGATAGGCCATTAACGCCTATAGCTTATAAGGCATTTTCACCCAGCGATGGTAACTACGAGAACAAAATAAAGGGAGTGAAGTAATGCATGAAACAGAAAAGGTCCCACAAAGCGCTATTCAGAGAGAAGAATAAGAAAGGCAAGGCAGTGAGCAAGAACCATTCACACTGAATTTATCAGGTGCAGTAAGACTGGAGCATTGTGCCAACATCTGGACGTCTGATGTCACTTAGAGAACCAGCTGGATTTGAAACGCTGTTAAACGAGCGCAGAAGACATCATGACTTTAGTGATGGGGGGCACACGCTCATGCGCAAACACATGCGAATACGTAAGCAAGCTGATTTCAGATACACAAATGTCCATCATTGCGGAACTGAGACACTCGTGCTGCAGATCACAAGCGTGGGTGTGTGCATATGGAAGTAGCTACAACAAACAGTTCGGTGTGAAGAAAATCGTCTTCGTGTAATTTGAAATCAGCTAGGCTGAATGAGCTCTCAAAAACTGCATTGACTCATTAAAGCCTTGCCTGTATGAGGGGAGAGTTCAGATGTTCATAACAAGCACTAGCAGATCAAAGTTACTTATATCTGACTCGCATCTGATCACTAGTTTAAACAATATAGGGCTACATGGCGGCAGAAACCCGGTGACAAAAAATCCCGTGAGTTACGTTTGGCTGTACTGCTGAGTCTTAATGGGAATCGACACAAAGGGAACTAACTAATGTCGTCGCACCGATTAGCCTTGACCGAATTTAACAGGCAGAGGACACCACAAACAAAACATGTTTTCGTCAAACCGATTATTCGGAATGATGAATAAGTTGGTGTGTGAGCGAATGGTGTTCAGAGGAGTAGTTGAGACCAGAAAGCTAGTGGATCACGGGGATGAAAATAAGTAAATCTTTAATTATCATCACTTTTGACCCCCCCCCCTCCCTATTGTAAGCTTTAGGTATCGGCGGATGAAACTGAATTTTTTCAGCATACGATAAGGCGAAGAAAAACTAAGTCTCGAAATACTGAGTCTGTTTTGAATGTCCGAACATTATTTTTCCAAGTCAGACAAAAATCTTCTCAACCGTGGGCTTCGTACAGCGCAAACCAAAGCCTTAGGTATCGGAGGATGAAACTGAATTTTTTCAGCATACGATAAGGCGAAGAAAACCTACGTCTCGAAATACTGAGTCTGTTTTGAATGTCCGAACATTATTTTTCCAAGTCAGACAAAAATCTTCTCAACCGTGGGCTTCGTACAGCGCAAACCAAACCGGGAAGACTTGCAGCATGTACGAGGGATTTGTAGCAGCATTCTGTGAGCGTTCTATTCACGAATATGTACGGCTGACCAAAAGCGATGAACACGGAGCAACTAGCCTCAAAACAGTTAGTGAACAAGTAATTCTACTGCAGTCCCTAATACCCAGAAAACCGGAGGAGTAGGGCAACAAGGGCACGCTGCATTAAAGCAAATAATGTGAGTTCAGGCGAAAGCCTATATACACAAGGCGTATTCTCGCTCTCAAGGACGATTCATTCAGTAAGGACAACACTGTTACTAGTTAATACTGCTCTTGTCATCACTTCCTAGTCAGAAGTACATGATACAATTGTGACCTGATGGTAGATTTTGACTTCACATAGCACAGCGCATCCTGTCTGCCTTACAGGCGTTAAATTAATTATGCAAGCTGAAATACAGTGACAGTATCCCATAGGATAATACAGGAGCGACGAGTTCACCACTTTGCCCATCGAAGTTCAGAAGAAAAGCGTTAATTCGTAAGCACTAGTAAGAAGCGCAAATGCCGGAGTGCACAAATCGACTGGTCCGAAACACCGCTCGCTGCGAACCAGTCAGTGTCGATGGGTCGGCCGATCGTCATTGATTTCGAAACGTACACAAGACTGAAATCGTTTTCAGGTCAGTACTGACGTAACGTTGACAGTGACTTTTGTGCAAGCCTTTCATTTCAATGGCGCTGGTCGACTATACGGGATTATCAGCACAACCACCCATCCCAACACTAATACATTAGAGGAAGTCAGGCCGCATGTTCTAATGGGCATGACCAAACGAGCGAACCTGGACCCGTTGCTTAATAGAAAACGAAGCAAACGATTCGATCAACCGGTCGAGTAGGAAATTCGACGTTCCTTCATCACAAAGCCAAATTAGTACCGATGTACAGACTAGCCAAAAGACTAAATACGAACCGAGCGGCTCAGCTATGAGTAATCCACCGATCCGATAAATCAGCAAAGTTAGGAGCTTGGCGCAAATTTAGTCGCAACATAATTTGATCCATTTAATTAGTCACTGAGTGGAGATAGGATGGCCAACATCACGTGACGCAATAGACATAGTGCCAACGGGTCGCGCAAACATACAGAAATGGCTAGATTGGTTACTTCGAAGTCAGAGAATTATTTATGACAGCGGCAATCTACCGATTCTCATCACATTCGTATAATTCATTCCCAACCACTAAAATTTGGTCATATGTGTCTGATGCGCTAGTGTCTACTATCGGATAGGTGCAGTCAAACAAACACGTCAGTGTGACTCGCCCACTTAATCTGTAAATAATTGGCTCATCCGACTAACCGGAAGAAAATCAAGAAAGTCGGCTGATGCACCAGTCAACTTAAGAAGCAGTGCACCTCTAATATGCAGTCGACACAGGTTACACATGTAAAGCTCTTAATCGGTTTCAAGGTGCGAACACGTTCACTGTTCGGACGTGATATTTTAGGTGCATCCAGTGTGCTGTGCTGGAACAGCGGTTTGTCTCGCACATCAAATGACCGGATTTTATATTCCGGTACGGTAGACGGATCCGTTGACGTCGAGATTTGAGGAGAACTTCCAGGCTAACAGCACAAGAACAAGAAAATGGTCGTTCAAAAGGAAGCTGTTTGGGCACAACTTCAGCTCCGTACTTTTGTACGTGCTTGCTGTGACGAAGCCGCTGTAAATTCAGTAGCGTTCTGCTGGACCTGTGCGAGGAAAAGAAAATTTGTGATGATGACCAGTGGCGTAGTAACTGATATTCACATAGGCAAAGACGAAACATACGTTATGCATTTGTCGCAACGATGTAACGCGTAATCTTTCGTGCGCGCAACTATGGGACTCGTTGAGTTCAGTCAGAGTGAGTTTTCCCTTCAGTCACTGTGTGATGCACCATGGGGGTTCAGTATAGGATTTGGTTATGTTTGGTTTACATCAAGGTTCGAAGTTACTCAGATTGAGAAAACACACATTTGTTACCCAAGCATCCCATTTGTCCTTTGGATCGATTCAACATTTTTACAAATGACATTTGACCAAACACACCGAAGCTTAGAGTTAGCTTTCGAAACGCATGAAGCAATCATTGTGAATTGCTATTTCCTCATAATAGAGGTATTGCAGAAAAAAGATATTACAAGCAAGTATCTTCAGATGTCATATGTCAGAACCGGACGAATACTGAAGTCGTATAAAGCAGGATAGTGATACACCGAAATGTCACGCGAACGCACATAAAAAGACTACAACACGAATTACACCTGTTAATGGATTTGGTCCTCGAGTTCCAGTGATGGCCCGACAAAGCACTCTATTAATGCCTCACTCTAGCAGGACCACGTGGACGTGCAGGACTATTTATAGATTAAGGTTACTAGTTTCCTGCAGCTTTGTTTGCGTCTCCAACAAAATAATCCGTTCACTGAATTCAAAGGCTCTACAGAGGGAAAGTACTATATCCACATTCTAAAAGCAAACATACCTGTTCGCTATCATCTACCCGCAAGACGACACTAATGTTGTGGATAAGGTGAATCAGGTACGAACAGTTCACTTTCGTATCCTGTTGCATCCTCCTGAATGAGATCCAATAATCCCCAAGATCCATCCATTCAATACGACCTAAGGATAGAGCAGTCAAATTCACGTCATTCCGCGGAGTCCCCTAATGACAGCTTGTTGAGAGGGTCGCGCTCGCATGGTCAGCGAACAAATGTCAGAGAATTAGTTGTGCGCCATCGATTAGTCAAACCCGTCAAGCGCAACATACGAACACAGTAGACGAGCAGTTGAGCACGCGCGATTGTGTATTTCTGCGCTTGTGTATGTGGGTGTAC